AACAGGAAAGATATATAAAGATTTTTATAATAAACTTTTTTCTCATCAAAGGACTTGGGTCCAAGACTTAATGCAATCGCCACATTTGGATTTTTAACATCACAGCACTTTTGCATGAGGAAGCAGAAAGGTACTAACAAAAACTAAGTCGAGAAGACTGTGTATACCCAGAACAGGAACTAGGTTGGAGATTGACGCTTAAGCAAAAAACAGATACTAAAAGGCTTAGAAAATGATCTGAGATGTTGTTACCAAAAGGTGACAGATTAATTACCCTTGACCTATATACTCAAGTCCAAATGAAAGAGGGAGTCTCTATAAATTGTGAGGTCATACAGACATTCCTGTTTGCGGATGACATTGTGCAGAACACTGAAGAATTTCCTAAATGAGATACATAACTCAAAAAGTTTAGTCCAGCTGTTCATATAGGAAAAAACAAATGATAAAAGGAACAGCTAGGTGGCCCAGTGGGTAGAGCACCAGTCCTGGAGTCAGGAGGACCTGAGTTCAAATTCGACCTCAGACACATAACACTTACTAGCTGTGTGATTCTGGGCAAGTCACTTAACCACAACTGTCTCACAAAAAAAAAAAAAAAACAACAAAAAACAAAGCTCTGAATTTCCCCGACTACCTAACTACAAAAGCAAAACAAAAACAAATGATAAGAGTTGAAGGTCAGTACACACAGTATGATATCAGTTTAATGAGTTGGGCCAGAAATTAACAGGGGAGAGGGATGAAATTAACCTTTGGAGAAAAATACAGTCCTTTAATAACCCCCAACATCTCCCTGAAACCAATGTCCACCTTTTAAATTTAAAATCATATTTTTTATCCTACTTATTTATTTAGTGAGGCAATTGGGGTTAAGCGACTTGCCCAGAGTCACACAGCTAATGAGTGTTATGTGTCTGAAGCCGCATTTGAACTCAGGTCCTCCTGACTTCGCCACCTAGGCTGCCCCAATGTCCACCCTTTAAAAAACAAGATGGTGATACTGTATGACCGGGACGGGCTTCAAAGAATTAAAAGTTGGGCAGCCCTTCAAAAGGGAATGGAGGTGAGTAGACTACAAGATATCACTAAGAATTTAGCAATAGAAGTGGAATAAAGATCATTATGGAGACGTTAAGACCAGAAGCAGTTGAAAAGGGGAGTAAGTTGCAGAACTCACGCTGACTCTAAATTGAGAGCTTAGTACACTCCCCTCAGCAACAACACAAACAACTTGAGGCTGAAGAGGTGGTTTCCAAGGCTTGGTCCCAGGGCCTATGGGTGATCCCAACAGCTCTTATGGGTTTAAAATCCATATTCTCCATCTACATCTTCCCTGAGTTTCAACCTCATGTTACCAATTGCTGACTGGATGTACCACTATATCCACAACATAATTTATTTTCTCTCCCCCAAAACTTCCTATTTTTGTCAGAAGTACCAACAATTTCTCAAGTCTGTGTCATACTCAATTCCTTACTCTCACACATTCCAAATATCTGATCAGTTGCCAAATCTTGTTCCTTCCTCCACAAAATGCCTCTCATCTTACCTCTGTATGTATACAGCTACCCCCTTAGTTTCAAAGCCTAGATCATTGCAACAGTAATGTTCTCCCTATCAAGACTCTCACCACTCCAGTTCATCCTCCATTTGACTGCCAAAGTGACTTTCCTTAATGGCAGATCTGACCATGCCACTCCCTCATACTTGATAGGATCCAGTGGTTCTCCATTTACCTCAGGGATCAAATGTGAACTTCTCTGTTTAGCTTTTCAAAAACCTTCAAATTTGGCCCCTACCTATTTTTCCAGCTTCCTGGTTACTTCTCTCTTCTCACACTCTTCAATTCAACAACCTGGCATTCTCTCTGTTTTTCTTGCATGGGTCACCATCTCTCCCCTTCATGCTGTGCATTGGCTATCTCCCATACCTGGTATGTAATCTGTCCTCTAATTCACCTCTGAAAATCCTCACTCTTCAAAACAAACACTTCCAGCATGAAGCCTTTCCTGATCCCTTAATGCCTTCCCTTCCCTACTTTAAAAAAATCATCTTTATATTTATTTGGCATCTATTTATATGTGTACTTGTCTCCTTGAGAATGTAAGCTCCTTGAGAGCAGGGATTTATTCTTTGTAATTGCTTCTTTAATAGTAGAGTAGGTGTTAAGTAAATGCTTGAGTGAAGAGGACTAAGGATCACAGTTGTCCTTTGCCTTCTGACTCCTAGACGGTTATAAAAGTTATATAGCCAATTTTTTCAAGTAAAAACTAGAAATAACAGATATTACATAGTGTTTTATGGTTTACAAAATGCTTCAGGTTCATTATTATCTCATTCTTGCAACAATCCTTAAGTAAATAAGTAGAGAACTCTTCGTGTAGTATCTCTCTAATCATAAGATCAACTCCATTGCAACTTAAATCTTATTTACCTGAGATATTGAGGTTAAATAAATGACTTGTCCGTGATCATACAGTTAGTCTAAGAGGCAGGGCTTGTGAGGTAGGTCTTCCTGAGTTACATTCTAGCATTGTCCCCGAACTCTCCTGTATTTGCATACCCAGAGCCCAGCACATAGTTGGGGTTCAAGGAATGTCTACTGATAGACTGATTCCTGACTCCAAAGCCAGCCGTCTAAGCTGCTTGTCTAGAGATAAAAATTATCGGTATTATTATTCCCATTTTGGGGAAATTATCCAAGACCTGGAAGTCTGAGCATTCTGGATTCTTGGGGAAAAATGACTTTATTAGTGCTTGAAGGGGATATAGAACTAAACTCAAAGGCCGGCCCTTAAAAGTCTTTCTGTCCACACCCCACCTCAAATCAACACCAAATCTCTCAGCAATCCCCCTGCTCACTTTTTGGCAACCTTCCATAATGTCTTGCCAAACTTCATTCATCCTTCTCTTCAGTATCAACCTGCATACTGCTACCCATGTATTTTAATAATTCCTTGCCACCTATCCAATCCTTACATAAACCCAGAATGCCTCCCTTTTAAACTCTGAAGCATCTCAAAAACAAAAAAATTCTCCATTACCTGAGGGCCTCCATCCCAGTCTCTTAAACAGGGCTAGTATAAATCACTTTTACATTCTTTAAATAAGCTTTATAATATTTAGACACACTTGTCTATTCTCATGCTGTCTCCTTGCCCTATTTGAGACTGATCCAAGTACAAACTCCACCCCTAACAACAGCGACCACTTTTTGATATCCATATGGATTCGAATCTCCATTATTTTCCCAATCTCCAATTTTACAATCTACATCACACGACACCCCCCTTCCCCAAAATCTAATCAGTAATACTAATAGATGCGACATGAGATGCACTGCAACCCAGATCCTTAGTTCCGAAGATGTGTATCCCATTTCAACACTTAACTTTGCAAGTGCATCCCATCCCACCAACTTTAGAAGGGCTAGGCTGCCCTTCAGCTTGGTCAATGCTCATTAAATCTTTAATGGAATATCTCCAGGGCTGACCTAGCACTACTTTCATGGCAACTCTCGTACTTTGCAGTCAACGTATGAGGATTCCGATAAAGGGCAATACAATACAACATAACATGTTTCAACAGATGCCCCGCCACAACCCGAGGCTAGGTCCCGAGTATGGGGTGTTGCTTACCAGCTCATCTGGACTGAGGACTCCGAATTGCACGCGCTTGATAGTTCGCAGTGGGCATGCGCTATCCCCAGAGGGAGGTCCCCCACCGTGCATGGCTGAGGCAGGCCCGCCGCGCAGGCGCAAACCTCCCTACAAAAACCCGGCGCTGCCTCTGCCTCGGCGCCCAGTCCCCGCCGGGGCGGCCACCGGGTAAGACCTCCCGGGGTTGAGAGGAAATGCCAGCCGGCAAGGGAAGGAGGACGAAAAGGACCTGGGGAAGTACGGAAAAAAAAGCAAAAGGAACCTTCTCTCCTTCCCGTTTCCAGGGCTTTTACCTCCCTCCCAAAAAAAATGCTTTTAAGGGGCCAAAGGAAAATCCTTGGGACAGAAAAAGGAAATATTAATAAATAAATAAGTAACCGGGCTCCTTAACGGCCGAAGCGACAGCAGTTTGTCTCTTCGCCTTCCGGGGAAACCCTTCCTCGCCAACCGTCCCAGCCGCGCTCTCGGCGCTTCTGAAGAGAGCGCCCCAGAGCACCATCCTTTATAGACTCGCCCCCCCCTCACTTCCCCCGCCCCTTCCCTTCCCGCCCTCCTTTGCGCCAGGAGGCCGTAAGCGCGAATACGTAGGAGGCGCGTGCTTTGGACGTTAAGCCTCTCTTCCGGGCCACTCGTCTTCCTTCTGGATAATAGTAAAGTGAAGTGGGGGGAAGGAGAACCAATTGTAGTCCCATTGTGGTTATCTCCACTCCCGTCCTCGTTTCTCCCTCCTCTGAATATTAAGTTCTAAAGATTTTAAATAGAAAGGGCCAATGGATACCGCTTTGTTCCTACTCTGGAGCAGTTTCTTCTTCATTGAATGGCACCTACTCCCTCTCACCGTCAGGACCTAAATTGGTCTGTTCCGTGAGTGCTAAAGTAGGAGTGGCCCGGCCCAAACTCCGCCCAGATAAAAATGGCCGGGGAGGTGGTGTCACCCCTCTTCCCCCCGCCCACCTCACGCTTATGAATATTTAATGACTTCGTAGATGTTTTGCCAGAGCTAGATGGCCGGGTTAATTCTGCAAGTCCGGAAGTTGGCGGCTTTGGCGTAGAGGCCTCGGAGGACGAGCGAGCCGTAGCTACCTCGGTTTCGTCCGGAGACGAGCGCGCGGTGTCCGGGTCTCCCAGCCTCTTACAACAGCAGGAAAGGCCCGCGGCTCGGGGGCCTGTTCCACAGCAAGGAGTTCAGGCCTAGTCTACCGAATGGTTTTTCCAATAGCAGATCAGTAGAAGAACCCTGAGGGTCTGTCATGAGGTTCTGGAGATATCCCCAAGTAAAGGGATGGAGATATCCCCAAGTAAAGGGATGGAGATTCCCCAGAGGGGCTCCCTTCTGTCACTAAGAAATTTTATTTTTAAGAGACAGCGAAGGACCTACGAGAGGGATTTGCTGATCCCTCCCACCCCCCTCAGTCCCAAAGCAGAGATGACACCAAGGGCAGTCACATTTAGATTCTTCCTTGTTTGAGGTCAACATCGTGTTTCTCCCACGTACCAGTTTGCCAGGTCAATCTTTACAACCCCCTATCCCATATTCCTCACCATGTTCTAAAACTTCTCCCTTTGATTGGATGTCTCCCTTCTCCAGCCTCATTGAAGATCACCTGCCTTGTTCCATTCAGAAAGTGTGCCCTTGGTCCCTTGTCTCACCTGGAAACCTGAACTTCTTTTTTCCATTTCTTTTGCTCTTTAAAGCTTAGCCCCTTTGCCTTGTAAGACTCATCCCCTTTGTCCCCCAATCCTACTGTTCCAGGTCTACTTTGTCTCTTAAATTCCTTTAAGCCTCTCTTCCTCAGGTCCTCCAGAACTATTCTTTGTTTTTCAGTAATCTCAATCAAATTCCCAACATTGTCTTGTTCTTTGTCTCCCGATTACACCAGTAACTTCCCTTATATTATATACACCTGAGTTCCTCCCTCCACTAACTTCCGAGTCCTAAGTCTCCCAAGCCCCAACTTCCTACCCCCCAACACACACATATTTACAAACACTCTCTTTCCCGATCACAACTGAGATTTTGAGCGGTGATGATGGCAATGCTACCCAATACAACTCCTGCCCCCATGATGTCAAATGGGGTCACAGTCTCACAGAGTACATAGTACTGAAGCATTAGTGCCACCACCACCTCAGAATGTAGCACAGCACACACCAGCGCTGGATGGACCATGGTGACAGCATAACTGGCACATACAAATGAAACCAGGGCCAGGACCCCAACAGCCCAGATACAGCTCCAACTTAGTGGGTCGTGGGGTAACACAGGTGTCTGCAACAGAAAGAGCCCTGGCAAGGCCCCCATCACCCCTACAATTCCAAAGAGGAATGCCACAGTCAGTAGGCTGGAAGGGAAGTCCAGGGATCTGTAAACCAATAGCCCCAGGGCAAGGGCCAGGCCACCCAAGACAGCCAACATGTAGCCAAGAGCTGTGTAGACCCCTTCTGATCCCTCCTGTAGAGTGCCCAACCCTGGGCCCACAATGATAAGTAAGCCCAGGGTGCAGCCAACCAGGCCACACCAGTCATAGCTACTGAGTCGTTGGCTCTCCAAACACAGAGCAAGGAGTGTAGAACAGACGGTGGAGGAGCCTTTGCGGACAGTGGCTGCATTGCCAGCGGGTACAACTAGGATAGCGCTGTAGGCACAAGCAATGCTGAGAACGTTCAGGAGGGCATGGAGCCAGGCTCTGTGTCGGTTACCTGTAGGCCCCAGCAGTGGACAGCCTCGTAGTTTGAGGAGCAAGGCGATGGGAAGGTGGAAAAGGCATCGGCAAAGGAGAAGCTCAAGGGAGGGTAGATGAGAGGCTTGATAGGCCATTCGAGAGAAGGGCCCCACAAAGCCTGCAGGAAGGCCTCCACCCAGCAGTGCCACAAGCAGCCCCTTGGTGGCATCTGTGGGGCGGCATCGTTGGTGCCAGGGTAGACTCTCCTCCCTTGCCTCCCCTGATGGAGAAGGGGATGGCGATGGCTGGGTGAAGTCATCCAGGGTCAAAGAGGAGTGGGACATGGCAACCTGTGGGACAGGGGAAATGGAGGGGGGACAGGAGAGAGCAGGAAGGATAGTGGGAGAGAGGCGATAGGTGGGTCCCTTGGGGTATGTGGAAATGTTAGGGTAGAGACCTTTTTGGACATGGAGAAGCCAAGGAGGGCAATAGGTGGTCCTAGTGGACAAATTCTTACCTCCCCCCCCACCATTCTCCAAGGTCTGTGGCAATAACCCTGTTACTAATGTATTATGGAAGGGCTAGGGATTCGGAGGGTGGGGAAAGGAGAGTTTGGTACCCTGGGAGACTCAGAGTAGGAAGAACCTAGATGTTGGAGGATGTTGTGACACTTTATTACTCTGATTAACTCATGGATGAGGAAGGTAAAAAGGGAAGTCAAAAAGTGTTAGTGCATTTTGCTTCCTTAGATAAGTGCTTTCTTGGTTATAGGAGGGTCCTGGATGTCACATGTGTATGTGATATCGTGTGTGTTCCAGGGACATTTTGTGTCTGTGTGTACAATCTGATTCATGGATAGGAGTAATATATCAGAGTCTTGGGTGGTAGAGGAGCTTAGGACTGGGGGAACAGGGGAAGCAGCCCCAAAGGTGGAGATTGGGTGTTAGCATGCACCCTACTGGGCCCTCAGACTCACCATGGTTCTCTAGACGCCATAGTTTGCTCTCTGCCTTCTGATGCTCTTCCTGGCTTCTCAGAGCTCCAGCCATTGGCCATTGTGACCTCAGGCTAGGGATCAAGTTCTCCCCTGGAATGTCCTTGGAGTGGGGGTTGGGAGGGGCATCCCTGAGAGACCAGGCATCTTTGTCTCTCTGTCTCTAACTCTATTTCCTAATATTTTCTATGTTTTATCAGGTTTGTTCCTAATTGTGACTATCTCTGTGTCTGAATCTCTGAGCCTGCCTTCTCATCTCTAAGTATATTGTCATTCCTGACCTCTAAATGTCTAAAATATTATAGATCTCTATTTGCTGTCTCTCTCCTTGAGTCTTCATCAATCCACAGAGTGCTACTTCTTATCTCTAAGTCATTTACTGCTGTTCCCATGTTTCTAGAAGGATGTGTAACTAACTACATACCACTCTGCCTTTTGAAGAGTACTACTGGGTCTTCTTTTCCCTATAATGTGTCTTTTTCTAATTCTACAATTTTTTTTACAAGTATACTTCAGCCTCTATGTTTCTCAGCTTCTGACCCTCTTATCTCTGGGCCATAATTTCTGCATTTACATAAAATATTTTTTTTGCTTGGGTATTTGTGTTTACAGTATTTTAAGTTTCTCAACCATCAAGTACATTGGCCATATGTGTGGATATTTGTATATTTTGTGCTTTGGCTGAATGGCAAGTTGTTGGAGGTCTCACCTGTCCTGGTTTTAGATGTCTGGCTCACATTAGAATATAAAAGTGTATTGGCCCAACCCTCTCAAACCCGCCCTCCCCCACCACCACCATGTGAGAGTTGTTATTTTCCATTCCTGTTATGTCCTACTGCCGTGGCCTCTGAGGCATTCTTAGGGTCTTCATGTGGTCATGTATACGTATTTCTGTCCATTTTTTCTGTGGAACTTGATACCAGTGTTCCTCAGTAGTGATATGTAGACTTCCAGGGTACAGCTGGTTTCTCTGTCCCTTTACATTGTGTTTTTGTGACTGCACAGCTCTCCTGTGCATCTTTGTCCTGTTTTGTGCGTTTTGTCTCTCCCTGGTATGGCTGTGTTTCTATTCCTGCTGTGGGTGCATTATGCGAACCTTGTGTTATATGTGTTCTTTCCTCTGACTGCCACCCCCTTCCTTAAGTCGTAATGTGGCCCCCTTTCTATACCGAGCTGTATTCAGGCGCTTTGTTTTGCATCCACACAAGGTATTGCCCCTTACATGTACCCTCTGCCCACGGGCCTAGCCCGGTAGAGAGCAGTTACTGTGGGTATTGCTGTGTAATGTTGTTAGGGGCACAGCTGTCTGTCACCACGAGTAACATGTTACATTTTCCTCCCAGTTGTAGCACTGTGTCCCTGTGCTTGTTGTTGCTGACCCAGCGCGCTGGGGTGAGTGTGTGGGTTGTGTATGCTGCGCGCCCCCCCACCCCAAACCCTCTCTCTCAAGGCCAGGCAGCAGCGGCGGCGGTGGGGGACGGTGTGTCTGGGGGGGGTGTTGGGGGGTGTTTCCGGGGGGAGGGGGGACCCGGGAGGAGGGAGGGGGGACCGATGATGTCAGCGGCGGCGGTGGCGGCAGCGGCGGCAGGGCCGGGGCCGGGCCGGGCACTGGGGGGGTGGGGGGGTGGGGGGTTGGGCCGGAACCGAAGTCAGAGCAGGAGCCGAAGCAGGAGCGAGAAGTGGCCTTAGCCGGAGTGGCCGGGAGCGGCCAAGGCGATGAACTGGGCCTGGCGGACGAGGCGCCATCATAGTCAGGTGGGCCGGAGCCAGGGACGCCTGGGCCCCTTTCCCGCGTCCCGCCTCACCTCACCCCGACCGGCCCGGGCCTCGTTCCCCGGACGCGGACGCACACGGCTGGCCCACCCCTAACCCCCAGGGCACGGGGCGCTGGAGGATTGTGGGCCCCAGATTAGGGGGGTCCGGGCGGGGAAGACCCCGGGACCCCCTCCAGGCTCCGCCCAGGGCGGCGCAGAACTCTTGGTCCGAGCCCGCCGGGAGCACCCACCTCCCTTCCGGGGCACCGCCAACACGGACCCCGAGATAGTGGCATCTGGTGGGCAACCTCTCCATGGGAACGAGCTGCTGGGATGCCTTTGAGCTTAGGTCGTGGGGGGCTGCCGACCCTCCCCCTCATTAAAGGGGGGGATTTGGCTGAGGAAGGGTTAATTATGCAACCTAGTCTCTCTCCTCCCCCTTTCGTCCCCCTCCTCCAAAGGGGATAGGGTGGGGGTGGGGCGGGGCCGGGTCTGGGCTCTGCTCTGCTGGGAGGGTGATGGCGTAGTAGCCGAGAGGGAGGGAGGGGATGCAGAGTTATGAGCCTGCGAATGGAGTTGTGATGCAGGGGGATGGAAGGCTAGCTAGAGTAAGAAGTGGGGGTCTGTGCGGCTGGAGTGGCCAGTATGTAAAGTGGCTGACGTGTGTGTGTGCTGTGGCATTGAGAGTTGTTTTCTTCTAGGCTCCAAGATTTGTTGGGTGGGGAAGAGGAATAGCCCAGGGGGTGGGAGAGATGGGGGTCTTGCTATTCCTCCTCTTTCCCACCCCCCCACCCCGAGTGGGAAGGGTGGAATGGTGTAGAGTACTGCGTGGCTATTTTGCTGTGTGTCTATGTATGTGACATTCGACATTACCAAACATAGTTTGTCATACAGATAGACTATGTGGTGTTCCTATGATATTACCATGTGTATATGTGTATGTCTCACATCAGTGTGTTTGACTTAATACAAGGATGCCTTGTGTGATTTGTCTCTTGAAATGTAGGTAAGATCAAGGATCTAGAATTGGAAAGGACCTTCGAGGTCATCTAGTCCAAGCCTCTAATTTTACAAATGAGGATACCTAGGCTTAGAGAGGTTAAGTAGTACTTAGTATAGTCCCTGGTATATAATAGGAGCTTAATAAATATTTATTGATTAATTGAAGTAACTTGGCCAAGGTCAGGAAATAAATGAAACAGCCAGTATTCAAGCTCAACTTCCTTTAATTCTACCATAGCTCTTTGCCTGGCACCATAGGATCCCCCTCGTTGCTCATTGTCACCTGTGTTATTTATATACAAATATGAATCCTACATATTGTAGAAAGGAAATTGAACAACTTGAGCAAGGTAATACATGAACCAATTTGGAATGTTGGGTTGTGTCTGTGTACTGTTCCTGTGTGGTGAAAGATCTGTTGTGATTCCATGCTCCTGGGAAGTATGTATATATATTGCTTGTACCATTTGTGTGTTCCGATGGTGTATATCCCCTTGTGATATAGTGGATATCATGCCTGCGATGAAAATAATAGTTGACATGTACACAGAACTTTATGATTTGCCAAATGAGATAATATACAGTATCTCATTTGAGCCTCTCAACTGTCTAATGAGATACAGCCCTATATAAAAGTGTTATTTCCATTTTACAGATGAGGAGACTGAAGCTTAGAGAGGTGACTTGCCCCAGTGACTTGATTACATTTTACCAGCTCAATCGACAAGCATTTAAGAAGCACCTCTATGTGCCAGGCACTTTGCTAGCCTCCAGATACAAAGAAAAAAGCCAAACAGTCCCGGCCCTCAGGGACTTAACATTCTAAGAGAGGAGATAACATGTATGTTTATGTAATCTTATACAAAACTTATATACAAGATAACTAGGGGGCTTATTGAGCAGAAGATGGCATTTGAGATTAGTCTTAAAGGAAACCAGAGATTCCAAGAGGTAGGGGAAGTAAGGAGGAAGTTGTTTTGGACATGGGGGATAGTCAGTAAATAGGCCCAAAGAAGGGAAGCAGTACCTTATGGCTGTGAGACAGCAAGAAGGCCAGTTTAGCTATCCTGTAGAATGCATGGAGGAAATAATAAGACTGGAAAAGTAGGATATAATAGAGGAGAGTCTTAAAGCAGATAGCCTGGTTAGAAGCTATTATAGTTCAGGACACAGATAATAAGGGCCTGAACTAGTGGAGGGCTTTGCTAGTGGAGAGAAAAGATTATAATGGAAAAGATATTGTGGTGATAGAAACGTTCTTTGGCAACTCTTTGGATATGTGAATGAGAGTGAGAAGTTGGACGACACTGAGATTGCACATCTGGGTGACTGGAAAGATCATGGTGTCTTTCACAAAAAATATTGAAGTTCAGAATAGGGGTGGATTTTGAATGGGAGCCTGGAAGATCATGAGTTCAATTTTGGATATAGAGTCATAGGATGGACTCTGAGGCCATCAAGGCCGACCACTCTCATTTTATAGATGAGGAACTGAGGCCAAGAGCTTACTCAGGATCACACAGATTATAAGTAGTTGAAGTAAGATTTGAACCCAAGTCTTCCTGACTTTAGGTCTAGTGCTGTGTCACTATACCATGCTGTCTTTCATAAAAAGCAGCTCCTGGAGAAGCTGTGTTGAGTTTGAGATGTCCACAGAACATTCAGTTTTGAAATGTCCACAGGAAGTTATTGGTGTGAAATTAGAGCTGAGGAAAGAGATTAGGGCTAGAAATATAGATCTGGAAGTTTTCTGTATAGAGATGCCACTTACACCTTATATGCCTGTAATTCACTCCTTCCTCACTTCTGACTTTTCAGATCCTTAATTTGTTTCAAAATTCGGCTCAGTTGGCACCTTCTACCTAAAGCCCCTCTGATTTCCCTGGCTACTAAAATCTTCCTGACAAAAAAAGAAAAATTAATTTGTATTTGGGGGGGGCAATTGAGGTTAAGTGACTTGTCCAGGGTCACACAGCTAGTAAGTGTCAAGTGTTTGATCTGAGGCCAGATTTGAACTCAGGGCCTCCTGACTTCAGGGCTGGTGCTCTATCCACTTCACCACCTAGCTGCCCCCACCTTGTATTTTTTCTGTATTTTGTATATGTTGTATATGTGCATGTTGTCTCCCCCTATAAAACTAACTTGTGGGTAGGGACTAGTTCATTTTTGTCTTTATATCCCCTGTGCTGATGTACAGTTCCTGATATGTCTTAATAAGTCCTTAATAAATCGTGATAGGATCTTAATAAGTGCTTGTTGGTTGATGGATATTCGTTGGAGAAGGAAAGTGATTAGGTTGGTTTGGGTGTGTGCTTCTGGGATGAAAGTGCTTT